AAGAAATTAACAGTATGTTATTTAGGTATAACTAATGTATGTCCTAAATGTTTACCTAATATTGATTTATAACAACATTTATTGATTTTTTTGGTTCAATTTTTTTAAAATTATATGACAATATATATAGGTATCTGTGTTTTATTTTCGTTTTATTTATATATAGTTCTGAAATTAGCGATTTTGTGAAATATTTCAAACATTTTTTAATAATTATTAAGTATAACAATTTACATATCTATATGTTTTTTTCTTACGTATAGGTATGCCTAACTATAAAATTATATCGTTACGAAGTAATAATTCAAGACGCGATTAACACATCAATATATACGACGAGTAAGTTGCATCCAAGTAGTTAGAACGCAACTTACCTCTGGTAATAATTAACAAGTAACTTGCATCTAAACTGCTCGGTCGTAAGTTACCTGCTATTATTAATTTGGAACGCAAGTAGTATGCACCGAAATTTATTGACCGATTTGCTGCGAGGAAAATTATAATGAGACTCTTTGTGTAGTCGACTATGTGCTTTGGGAATGGGTACAATTTTCAAGTTTTAAAGAGGTTAGTGATAAATAATAATATAACTTTATGTTAATATAACTTGCGTAGTATTATATTGAACATTTTTATAATGATATTTTAATTCAGCTTCAACGAAGCCATTAATGTTATATGTATATTTTAAGTACAAGTGTTATTATTAAGTCGTACTTCAATAATTGGAAATAAAATTAATTTTATACACTTAGATTACAAATACATAGTTATATATTGATAATAGGGTTGGTTTTTTTTTATAAAATCGTATTATTTAGAAATTGTTTTATTGAAAAATTTTGATATATTATTTATAAGTAACTCAACGAAATAAAAAACTACATAACACATATAAAAAAAAGATAATTTTATTTGTGGGTAGATTAAAATCATTTCAAAATATATCACAATGGTTTTTTTAAAAATGCGATTGACCACGGATCCTTTATCTTATTAGAATATTACTTTTAGTATTTCGATTGACCACTCTTTTTTTAACGTTGATAATTTCAATATTTTTGTAATATAGACTAAAGAGGATTTGTTTTATCGATTCATAAGCATAGTGGTGTGCAGGAAGGTACTTGGTGCTGTGGCCAATCAGGGGCGTCATTTTAGGTTTTTTTTTGTATGTGCGAGGTTTCAAGCAGGTCATTTTGAAATTTCACCAGGCCATATAAAATGGATATATGTAGGTATATGTATTATGTACATTGTACATTGTTCTGTTTTCAATTATTTCCATATATTGCAAGTACCGAAGATCTGAATCATTGCATAAATATAAATAGGAAAAATCAATTTAAAAACTAAAATATAATAAATAATTAACAATCATAATAATTGACAGTATAACAATATTGATAATTATCAAAATAAAAATAAAAATACAATTTTGAGCAATATCTCAGTAGAGCGCAGACAAATTACTATACTATTTTGAAAGTAAAGGGTACAACCGCAAACCCTGATTCCCACAGCAAATGACGCCCTTGTGGTCACTTCTTGATATTTTTATTATTAGGATCTTAAAATAAACTTCTGAGCCAAGAGTAAATTTATCATAAATTGTTAATATTATTATTTTAAAATTATTTTGTTTAATATTTATAATAATTTACTTAACTTTTTATGAGAGGTCCTGAAAAAGAAGAGTGCTCAAAAATGCTGTAATAAGCATGACCTGAAATTTAGGTTTCATCGTGTATAAGTGAAACAGTATCATTTATGTTTCATGTCAACATAGTAATATAATATAGTTTGACATTTGAAGTTTATTTTTATTTTTTTGTTTATACAAAATATGCATATAATATAATCTTATTGTAAATATTAATTATTAAACATTTAATACAAATTTTCAAACCAACATGAATGTTCATACTTTTAAATTTTAGTTATAAATTGCATAATACATTTTCTCACTGACTCCGTATTGAAAAATTGTCATTATTTTCTTAGTGAAATAAATGAAAATAATTAAGTAACTTGCAACTTTAGACGTAACTAAATTACTGACTATTGTAGTTTGTAATTGTCACTTGTAACTAATTACAAATTTTCAAATGTCCAAGTTACAGTATACGTATTGTAACTTGTAGTTAATGTCTACTAATTGAATAATATACCTATTATCCTTTATTGTATATCAAAAATATAAATAAAATGATTTCTCATAAACTGATAAAGTTATTGACCTGTGATATATTCTTAGTATAATGTTGCAATAAATACTGTTCTTAGATGTTCCTGTTAGTTTTTTGGGTGTGCGCCGAGTTCTTTGTGAAATTTTAAGCGCGTGCTCAATTTATTGTTTAACCAAAAAGATATAGTATACTCCGATTGAATTTTTGATTAGCCAATTTTTTTTTTTTTTTTATTGATATACATATGTAGTTACGACAAAGGTGATAATCAAAATAGTAAAGGTGCGGTAGAATTATTAATATTTTGAAATTAAACTTGATTAATAAATTATGAAATGTAGATTTAAAAACTTAATTCATAAGAATGTGATCTTTATAAATATAAAACATAATTTAATAAATATTTGTTGTGATGGAATGAATTAAACAAAATTTGAGAAAGTAATAGAGATGTCTATTGTATGATGCTGGATTAATTCTATGATAGGATTATGTTTTTAATTATACTATATCGTAATCTGAATAAAAGTAACTATCCGTGTGGTTTTGTTTTTACTTATTATACACTTATAAACAATCGCAGTATAAAACTTTTTCTCTCTAATGATATATGCATATACATTATAATATGCAATTTTAATGATTATTAGATGAATTCCCAAGACTGTTCAACATTATCACACGAATTGTCTTATTTTTTTTGATATGTATAAATCTGACACTTTTATTCATATTTAAGCCAAAAATTATTGGTTTTCTGCAAATAACATAATTAATTATGTAATATTTTCGAGGTCTTCTATTGTGTCTATTTAATCATTTTACGGTATCTTTGTGGCTGTATCATTAAAAATATGACAGAATAACATTATTTATTTTTTCTACCTAAACTAATAATAGCTATTAGTTGTTTTTGCGATGACACGTGTGAGTCCCTGGTTTTTAAAAATGCGTTTACAACAATTTAAAATCAATTTCGTAAAATAATTTTTTTACTGAATAAATTTAATTTATTTCTGAGAAAACGGTCATAACTTGTATGATTTTCATTTACATTGAAATTTGAAATGTAACTTAGTTTAACATTAACCTAATAAGATGATACTCGAATACTATACATTGTACAGGTTTCGTCCTACATTTCGCTGAGCAATAATAATAATAAAAAAAAAATGCGTGCATTTTGGAGGACGACGTCTTTAATAACATAAATACATGATGTTGTTTTTATTATATTTTTTTCAATCTTGCAACATAACATACCCATTAATTTTTTCGCTATCTCAAAATCGAAACTATAAAATTAACTACGTTAAACTAAAACATAACAAACGCATATTTTATCTAATGAACATAATAATATATGTATACTGCTAGCACTTGTTCAATATGTCATTCAATCATTCGTTTTTGTATTTACATTGCAACTTTTACATGTTAATGTAAACATATTTGAATGTACAAAGAGTATGTTATTTAGAAATTTTGTCTATGGTTTATACACTATATACTGTGTTTAACGTATGTACGCCATGGAGAATTCTTGACCTTCGTCACTGAATTGAACTCGATATGCTCGTCAATCTTTGAGTATTCATATTATTTTCTGACTATTAATTTCCGGTTGATTTCCAATGATATCATGTGTGACAAACTGTCAACTAAGCAGCTCGGCGATGAGCCGGTTGATTGGCCTGTTCGCTTAAATATTGTTCCATAGCTTTATGTTCCTCGATTAATTCTAGCTTTTGGTGTTATTATATTTTTTGATCAAAAACATCAGACAATTTGAAAATATTTGTGAATGAGATTTTATAATTTTTAAAATATAGATATAGAGTTTTTCTTTTTGTTAATCCACGGTACAAATAAATGGTTCATACTTATAATAAGATTTAAATCTCTCTTATTCATCTCTTGATAAAGTTTGGCACTTAGTAACAATTTGAATAATTAATGAAAATTCATTCGTTGCCTTTTAAATAATATTAACATTAATGTTAGATCTATAAATTTTCAATATTAGATTCTGAATAAGTATAAAAATAAACATTTTTTCATTTAATTCGGGTATACTTAAAATCTTTGTCAAATTTTCAGTTTTCGTTGATTTTTACTATGTAATATTAGTTTTAAAATAGAAAAATAACAACAATGATTAATTATTACGTAAATATTACGCATTACGTTTACACGTACTAAAATTCGAAGAAATATATTCTTCACAGTGTTAACACGTTATTACTTACAATTACTTGAGTCCTAAGGAAGCACAAGTCCACGAAATCGAAATTTTTTAACAAATGATTTTCAAAATTCTCTGTTGTAATAATGTTTTATAATAGTTAGATAGTTAGTTAGACTTAGTATGTATCACGAGTGTTTAAAATTACAATTATATATGTATAATATAAAAGAGGTGTTCACGCGATCAATACTTATTATAAATATTGCAGAAATATTGTTTTGCAGTGTTATGATAAATTTATCAATTTAACTTTAAGTTCTATCATCAAAATTTATCTTCGATGTATCAACGGTAATAACTATTAAGTATATAAGTATATTCATGCAGATTTAGTGAAAATAGTGTTAGTCGTTATGATCAGAAGTGGTTAAGAATAGATACACAATAGATTACACAATTTGGTTTTTGATAAGGATTACGTAATTCAACATTCAATTATTGACGATATGTTTATAATACAAAAATATGACATTTATTACACATAATTATATTATTATATTAAAATATTACATATAAATTATATTACAAAACAATATTGGTTATAGTAGAGATAAAAACAATTATTTTTAAGAGATAAAAAAATGTATAACATTTTATTTTAATTACATATGATATATGTATATGACATGGCAATTTTTTTTGACGATGTGAGAATTATAACACTCATCAGTTTGATGGAATGTAATTTTGCTGTGGGATATGTGAATAATATTTCCGTCTCATATTTTCATTTTTGATAAGCTTCTGATACTTAATCGCTGTGAGTGGGTATTTTTCATATTTTGAATAAGGTTTTTGGAACTTAATTTTCATTGGAACCTGAAAAGTATGTACACATCATATTAGGTAAGTATTATGTATAGTGCAATAAAAGATAAATTTTAATAAAGAAATAGGTATATAGTCAATATCTTTTATTAGTTTAAATATTAAAAAAATGAAATTATTTTAATTGGTAAAATTAAAAATTAATTGAAAGGTTGAAAATTAATACGATTCGTTATTTGATCATGGTAAAATTCTTCTACAGTATGTTTATTATTTGGTCCATTACATAAAGGTCGAAATAATATTTAATTATATTTTAAACAATTATAATAATGATAACAAAATAATAAGTAACATAGTGTTTAATGACATTTCTATATTTACCAAAATACTTTCTAGAATGGGTACATTTTAAATATACAGTGGAATAATAAAAGCAATTTGTAAATTTATCTTTCTTAAAGCAGACACTTCCTTATAACTGTTTATGATTTATTTCAATGGAATGTAAGACTATTTGTTTTTATTGCAAATAAATCGTCAAGGTGTTTAATGAATTTCAATAGCTTAATCCGCTAAATTTAAAATGGTTGTTTCTGTAAAATTTCGGTAAATAATTCGTTATAACTGTTGTAATCAGATATTTGAAACATAACATTATAATGTTTGTAATACAAAACTTGTCCATTTTTAAAGGTAATTTGATAAAAGAAATTTAAAAAGTAAAGAAAAAAATGGTGTATGGATGCAGGTGAGAGGAAATTTTATTCATTAGTAATACATCTAAAACTAGGTTATATTGTTGACAAAATAAGTGACAATATATAATTTAAGATATCTTTTGGCTAATTTCTTTCTAACTTTAAATCGCATTCTAAAATTTGATTTTTTCATTTGAAATTTTACCCCTTTAGGTTTGATAGACTTCGCCAATGGGAAAATTTTAACTGTAACCGTTTGATAAATAAATATGTATCTAATATGAGTGTGTGACGTGTAATATTTATTATAATATACTAATATAGATAAGTTGGTTAACATTGTGACTATGCAATATTTTTATAGGCGTTGATTGAAAATTCATAAACAAGATTCGCTATAAGATGGTTCTAATTAACCGTAATAAATTATATGTCAAAACATTTTAGTACTGCTCTAAATTAATTATTGCGTTACCATGTATCGCCGTAAGAATACAATAGTTATTATTACCAGTTGAAGACTTTGAGGCGCCAAATACTCGATGAAGTTGTATGGGATTGGCACATAAGATGGATCCAGGGGCGGTGGCTCGGGCCTTTCTTCGGAATACTCTTGTACGGGAGCCGGTGGCGCGAGATAGGAACCAGGCACTGGAATTATTTTTGGTTCGGGCACAGCGGGCTCAATGGGTGTCGTCTTGCCCGTTGGCACTGATATCGCCGTTCCCAAATCCATCATGCACAGGCACTGTGTAAAACAAAATTAGTAATAAAATTTAATTTAATATGGTATTGAAATAATAAAATGAAATATGTCTTGGGCTTAAAATGAAATGAAAAAAAAATCCTATCAAAAAACTGTTGTTACGGGTTGTAATTTTATTCTTACATAGTTTTACAAGCAGACATCAAATAATAAAACACCAAAAACTTAAAATAATTTTAATTAAGCATTCTACAAAGAGTACAAAAATTCCCTTCCTTTGGAGAACAATACGAAGTTAAACGGTAATTGTCTGAAAATAGTCAACGTTCCTCAAGAGATTTTCTTGTTTGCATAATGCCGTTGAAGCAAGTAATAAACAACTAAAATCATTTCAAAAATACCAGGGCTTTAGAATTAATTATGTAGTAAATTTATGTTTTTGAATTTGTATGAAATATGAGTGTTTTGTTATAAATGATATGTATACATTGTTTGATCATTAAGCAAATTCGATTCCAAGAAAATTATTATTCACTGAATTACTTATAGGTACATGTTTTTAGAGTAAATATCAGTGTAAATTAATAATAGGTCTCTATGACACATTTAATTATTTATTTATCCCCAAAGTTGAAAATAATATGCAAATAAGCAAGGTTAATAAAATCGTTTCATATAGCTTTTTGTATTAACTATAATCAATTTTTTTATAAGCTAATTAAGAATATAATATGACGTAGTTTTAATTGAGTTTAACAAAATGTGTTAGAACGTTGATATATATATGTAGAGGTATTTAGTATATTATATTACGGTATTTATGATAGTAAACTTTAAATAAATATTTGTGGTTAAAAACATAAGTTTTAAAATTAAGTTTTAACGTAAAATATTTTTTTATGTTAAAAGTTCTTTATGATGCTAATGATCGGTATGTAAAATTAATATATATAAAATTAGAATTTAAAAACCAAATTTTTTGTTTTCATTTGAAATTAAATTAAAAATTAAAATAATATATAGGTATATGCAACTAATATTTTTTGGACAATTATTAATAAAATATTGAAGAATAATATGTACATTTACTACTGTCTGTACTGCTTTAAGTAAATGACAATTTATTTAGGTACAAGAAGTTTTTTGTTTAACAATTAGATAATAGATAACATTTGTGTTGTTGTACGTTCATTATTTCTTCATGAATACTGTTATTAATTTTTACGGCTGTAACCAGGGGCTATAGGGCTTAAGTTAACTTTCATTTCAACAATATAGAATTTTTATTTTCACAAAAGCGCAACTTGATGCATTAAAAAATTTTGTGATTGGTGTAAGAAAGACATACGTATTAATGACTTTCGAAAACTGATAAGTGAAACATAATACAAGATGTAAAACAAAAGTTTGAATACAATATTTATGCTTCTCATGAGTCAATTGTTATTTTTAATTTCATATTTGGGAAGCACTCGGTAGAAATACTAAAATGCGTGAATTGTCTGTTTATGATACTGTATAATATTATTCTCGTGTTTTGTTGACGGTCGCACCTACTTACTGGTAGTCACGGTCGTTTAGCAATCTAGATAATATTTGTATTCATCACCAACAACGTTAAACTGTAGTCAATATGATATATTATTTTATCGATACATACACACACACACACACACACACACACACACATTGTGTACAAAAATTATTTCTGCATTAATTAACAAGGTTCATTTATTGTATTGTTCAATAGATATTACATAATATTATTTCTAGGTGAAGTGTAGATAATTTAAACGCTGCAAATATACATATTTAAATATTGTGCCAAATAAAATTTTACTACATAAATGATATGTCCATTGTCCATACACTTTTTATGTATAGCAATGGTTTGGCATGGTTGACATAAAAACTATTAAAATATGTTATCTCTTCAATGGTGGTAAAACATAAATTTTTAACGATCATAAATTTGATAAATTTTTTTTTATTGTAATATTTTGTCGCGGATACAGGTAATACTTAAATTTTAATAATTTTTTCAAATACTTTTTTTTCCATAGTGACTGAATTATTTAAAATTATTTACTATGAAATGTCAACAATTTAAAATACCTATTTTGGTATTAATTACGAGTTTAATTTCTGTTGTTTGTTTATATTTTGTTTGTATATTTAATAATTAAATAACATTCAAAAGTGGTATTGAAAATTATTATGAAAATATGGGATCGGACGTTATTTGTATAATTCATCATTTCTGCTATAGCTATTGTTACAAAATTTGAAAAATTAGCGAAACATTGAATATTTTAAGTGGTTAGCTATCCATTTTAATAGTACCTATCTATTATGTATTTTAGTATATGTGATTAACTATTGAGTTATCGATATTTCAAACAGTAATTATAAATATATAGATAATATATGCATCATGTAAGTTAGTATAACTATGATGCTTATCGAAATATGTTTTTTTCATGTCGTAAATAATAATATCAAAATATTAGTTAATAATAATTATATGGTGGTCATTTTAAATACAGACGTTTCGTTTGTGATCACTGATCACAATATGCGTGCTTGAATAAATTCGCGTGATTTCAACAATTAGGTATACATATCGAAAGTAACAGTTGATATTTTTACCGAATTTCGGCGATATCATAATTTTCGTGTACCTAACCGGTAATCGACAGATAAATTTTTTTTCAATAAATATTGGCAAGTATAATCATTTTTGTGCGAAACAATATGTATTATGTAATATATACATAGATGTCTAATTTATTTTCTATAAAAAATACGTGTTAATGTTACAGAATGTCAAAAAAAAAAAAAAAATAATAATAATAAATAAATAATAATAATAATAATAACTGGTTAACAGTTATTAAATTTAAAAAAAAAGTACATATTATAATATATTATACAAATATACAATGTATGTATCTGATATACCTATGTATAAATCTATAGCAAACTCATCGATATCGTAGTGGTTACAAACCACTGTACAATTGAAATATGCAATCACTAAATGCATACAACTGTTTACAATTTATTGATGTCAATTTGCCTCCAGAAATATAATATGAATAGTAAATTTTTCCTTTACTGACATAATGACAACGGTAAACTTGAATGGATCGACGTTTATGTATCAACATCGAACATAATATTACAGTGAATTATTCGTGTTAGTGTGTAACATCAGTCTAATAGTACTAACTACAAACTACAAACTGTTTGGTTATACAATTGCCACTATAACTAATCGCACGACATTGCTTTATGTTTTGTAACAATAGATTTGGAGATTCGAATCATAGACATTTCATCGTATTATTGTCAATAAAAATACATTTAGAAAACAAGTTTATACTTATAGATCTAAATCGTGTCAAGTTATACGCTTGGATAAATTGCTGATATGGACTTGGATTACTATTAATGTATGCAGTTTAGACTTGATGACCATATATTAAATATCAGATATTCTCTTATTTTTAACCTACCAAACGTGTTTCAAGATGCGTCACAATTTTTTTTTTTTTTTATCTTATTGAATTCTATCTTACTTTTAAATTTCAATATGTGAGTGATCAACACTATTTCGAGTACTTACACATTTTACAGTGTTATATTAACACGTATCATGAATTGTTATTATAAGTCCTCAAGTGCTTACACTGCATGTAGGAACTATGTACATTGTACACAGTTTTTAATATTTCGGTTTTTACCTTCATTCTTATATTATATAAAACGTTTCGTATTACAATTTTAGAATCTGTTTTCTATCTGTCGATTACAGTGAATTAAATTATAACTGACATCTAGTTGAACTTCAAAAAATCAAATAACAAGTTCTATCATTATTTATTTTTTTATGTATCTACGAAGGACTGCTACTACGTAAAAAACTCCTTTAATTTCATAATAATTGTTTTATAAAAATAATTTTGCAAATTTGAAAAATAGGTCAAATCATATTTGAAATAAAGGGTAAAAAATCACGCGAGCTGAATAAATCAATGATATGTTTATTGTAAAATAAAATAGGATTATTTCTGTATTGTTTTCTGCAAAATATTAAAATATATTGTTAGTTTCATTAGATATATTAATAGTATTAACTAAGTACTATCCTATTAATAGACGTTCAATTATTTCCAACATTATTAAAAAAAAATATATTAAACATAATTTTTATTTTATAATTTAAATTTACTTTAACTAAAGTTTTAGTTAATGATTATAATAATTATCATTATAATAACAGTCTTGGATGAATAGACAATTATTTGACTAATGACTATATATATTAATAATATTTAATATATTATTTTTATTTTTTTATTTTATTATTATCTTTGAGTGAGCATATATTATTTTAATTTTTAAGTACAGCGTTTATATTTTAAATCTGGAATTTAAATTCTATATTCATAATTTATCATAATATTAATTTATTACTATTTATTTTAATTGTTGTTCAGGACTTTTAGGTAAGTTAAATAGGTACACGTTTTTAAAATCATATTCAACTTTTATTATTTAGTGTACCGTCAATGGTCAACTTCCGAATTCATTTCTTTCCTCGTCAAATGTATTAATTGTATGCGTCGTATATTTTGCACAAATTGTAATTTTTATATTTTAAATAATAAAAAAAAGCTTTCATTATATTTGAATTTTGTCATCGAACTTTGATCAGCAAGTTTTGGAGCTATAACTTTTATATAAAAAATTTGTCATGTTAAATTGTTATGAGTATCTTATGTTATTTTAAGTCTGAACAGAATCGGTCAATAAAATAAAACAATTTTTCTCGTAATGAAGGAAAATCAAATTTTTAAATCATATGTAAACATGTAGCTATTAATTACCCAAAAATATATTATATAATCGTTGTTGTATATATCTACGTGATCTTGAGTTTAAATTGTGTGAAATGTTGGAATGATTATTGTCAATTATCTAACAAGTAACAATATCGTTATTCATTATATTGTTGTTTATGATAAATAATATCGCGGATATTAAGAATATAACGATGGCATGCCTTTATCCTTACACTTATATTCATGTATACACATTCTCTTCCGATATCGAATATCTATAATAATAGTTTTACGTTTTATACCTACCCAATAGATTTTATGCAGAACGGAAACTTCATAAAGAAATTGTAATTATTAAACATCGCAGAAGCAAGGTCGAGACGGTAGTATGTCTATCACTATAATATAATATAAGCATAAATATCATTAATAATGATAATAATAATACTATTATTAATATCGTAAAAATAAAAATAAAAATAATAATATGCGTATAATATCCCTTGAGTTTATTCATATCATCGACACCATATTTTGTGTGTAATATGTTTTCTCTAAAGTACCTATCATAATTCGTCTCCACCGGAGAGGTCACGACAACGATGACGAGGTCATGTACATCACATACCGGAACGTATTTATATCTTCCAGTAAGAACTTCCGTAGCTCATTATATTATATAAATATACATGTATACTCGTACTATCCAATACCGTGAGTATAATGTACACAGGTGTACTGTACAACGTATATACACAACTAAAATCGTGTACCTATTCGTGATTTTGTACATCACGTTGTTTTTTTTTTATGGTCAACGGATAAAATTACGAATTTAATCATCTCAAAGAGTTAACACTGATTTTTAACTACTTGTGTTCATGAACATATTATATGTTTATAGTTTAGTGGAAATTATTGTGATTATACATAAATTATGTGATATTATATTATTCTATTGAATTGTCTATCAAAATTATCGTGACTGTTAGAAAATCCTCATGTTATTATAGTTACCCAAGTCTAAGGTAATCCTTATTAGCCTCGTGAAAAAATATTTCCATACGTGGGAATACTTTCAAGATATTAAAGGTCGACACGTTGACTTTAATTAATTTTTTGAATCGTAGAAGAAAATAATGATTGGAAAAAACACCATTCCATCAAAATATTTATCAAACTTTGAAAATTATAAAAATTAATACTAGGTAAGTTCATTTTTCAAGTGAAGTATTTTTGTGTAATAAAACATGAATGTGATTTTTTTTAAAGTTAACACTTATTTCCTTATAAAATAAAAATTATTGGAATTTCAATTTTTATCTATCGAAGTTTTTAATCAGATATTCTGTATTGGTATTGATATTAAAAATGTATGCACCAATTCAATTTTTTCAAAAATTTTATATCGTAATTATTGTTAAAACGCGAAAAAAATTTTCAAAAAGTTATGTAAATATTTTCCAAGATAATGAATGTTAAAAGAATTTATTGTGTTTGTTCATATGAGCAATAATTATTTTAAAAACAAATATTTATCGTATTACTTTTCTTTTCAAAACAAAGTATTTTTGTTATGTAATGATTATTTCCGGAGATAACCAATAAGTATATACTCGTATATTATATTTAAGTGCTACCATTGGGTTTCTTCCTTAACACGATATTCATGTTACTTCATTTTATGTAAATACGTCAAATTTGCTTATTGTAATTATTGCGTACAGATTTTAAATTGTTTTTTTTAAATAAAAAGAAGAAAAATATGTTTCTAAATTCTCAGCAAAACGATGAATGTATTAATTTTATTATGATGACGTGTTTTAATATGTATTTTTTTTTGTGGATAAAAAGGTACATGATAAGTTATCGATAAAATGCTTTAATTTTCAAAAATAGAGTTGGTTTTAGATTTAGTTTGTAGTTTTGTATTTTAAATAAGTCAAACTTAAAAATTGCTAGTACTTAATTTTACAATATTAGAATAAAAAAAATAAAAAAATTAAGGAAAAACGAGAATTTTTGCGCAAATCTAATTTTGACAAAATCTTTTTTTTTAATGTAACTTGAAAACAAAATACCTTAGATATTGGAAATTTTCGTCAAATGTTTATGTTATCGTTTTTTATTTAATTTTAGCTCGTTTTCGTTCAGGATCGTTTTTCGCATTTAATTATATTTTATCATTGAATTCAAATTTAACACACCTATATTGGTGACTTATTTGACACTCAATTTACAGCATAGCGGTACCTATTACCTTACCTGTACCTTTATTTTTTAAAGAGATTTGATTAAAAAAGGCGCTAATAAGTAATTAAGCTAATAAGCATCTATTTATAACTTTAGCCACTGATTATTTGTTATTGTTATTACACGCTCATGTTCATCTGAATTACCCTAAATGGCTTTATTTATTATTACTTTATCGTTGTTTCATTTTTTTGTTAATTATGTTTACGAGATATTTTTTTTTTTTTATATTTTTTTGCTCAAACAAGCTATATAGTTGATTACTATGTTGTAATAAATTTAAGAAGACATGAACATGGGCTATAGCTATATAAATATTGGGTGTAGGATATTTGTTTTGTTCACTTTACTCCGCAGACGATACTGTTTACCTATACATATTTATGTAAATTGATTATTTCATATCACTAAGAAACATAATTTTTTTATCAAATAGGTAGGTACATGCTATTTTTAATTAGTATACTGCAGTTTTTATAATTTTGTAAATTTTTTCTATGCTAAATTGTATTCAATAGGTAAAACATATTGATTAACATAACAATAGAATCTGGTTACATATTTTTGGGACTTAAGTATTAAAATATTTTACGTATTTGTCCATTTTCAGATATTATAAGGATTGTATTAATTATTCATGTGCAAAAATATTATAATATAATTTGAAAAAACAGTAAGAAACAATCTCACACGGTTTAATTATATAAAATTTATCACGGTGACTTACAGACCTCGATGGTTATTTTATGATTTTATGTTTACTGCACCGTGAATAGTTTTTGAGAATTTAACAGTCAGACTTCTGAAAGGTCATCTAATGTTTCATATATTTTTAACATGGAATCGTAATACACGTATAAGTATTAGATAAATTGAGATCTAATGGAAAAGTGATAATGATATATCAATATGAGAGATGAGTAATAATTAATAAATGAAATTGTTCATTTATATGATATAACTATTAATACCTCATAAATAATTATCGAGTTAAGTATAGGTATCGTGGAACTAATTAATATAATAAATCATAATAGTAAGGCTGAATTGATCAATATTTTACTGGACTGTGGTTTCGTTGTATTAATAAGCCAATTAATATAATTACTTATGCCTAACTATATAATAAATCTTAATATTTGTTGTACTTACTTATTTATTTTTAAATAAATCGTTTATGTTAAAGTAAATTAAAAATCGTTTAATTTGTAGTATCATATTTTATGTTCATGATTAAATTCAATAGTTTACTAAAAAAAATAAAATGAAAAATGAAATAAAAAAATAAACTTGAATAGGAATATTACAAATATTTACTTTAGATTATTAATTTTGAATTCTTTTATTAAATCCATATTGAACATGCAATATTGGATTTTTCTTATTTTATTAATTCTTATTTATTCATTTGAGATAAAGTGCCATGAACTTTTTATGAGCAATAATTAAAATTATTATTGTTTTTACCATCTATGTATTTATAAAAATATAAAATTTAATTCTTGTATAGTGCGCTAGTGAAGAAAATTCTGCAGCATGATATAGTTAAGCTAATATTTTCTATACGAAATGACTGTGGACTTAATGATAAGCTTTAACTGGATATTTATGAAAGATTTAGTTAAAAATGCATTTGTTTTGTTTAATATTATGAATTATGATACAAACCGACATGTTTTATGCGAAATTATTGAATAAATGATTAGGTTTTATTGCATGTGTATGGGAGATTTACTTTACATTTTAAAAAGTGTTTGTATAATACCATAATCATATCCAGTAGGAAATACCCCAAAGGATATCTCTTAATTAAGGTTTTAATATTAGTGTAGGTAATTGCTGTTTCGTTTCGAAATTTAGTAATTATGAATACGAAATTATATTTCGACATAATCGATAAATATTCTAGTGAGGTCAGATTTGTATTGATATAATATACCTACTCTTCAACAATATGTTTACCGTTCCGTTAACATGCGTTTTGCAGCGTTTTCCTTATCCGGAGTGTGTGTACAAATATTTAAAAAGTTGTTGAAGTAAAATAAACAGAGGGTTTTAATATCCTGACAAGACGTGGTTTGGAAAAAGTCACAACTGCTAAATCCACATAAAATATATTATTTAAAATGTGGGTATGAATTTTAAACTATATCTGGTAGTTTGTCTAACAGAGCATGACATGGATTGCAGATCATTTTACTAAATACATAAGTATATGAAATATGACGCTTTAGATTTCTTAGACTTATGTTCTCTGTAGTATCTACTACTTTAGCTACAATATTATATCCGTGAGTTTTTGATTCAATACATTTGTAATGAAATCATATTTAATATTGAAACGTCAAAATACAAAGAATTACAACTTACTGAACTAGTGCTACAAATGTTCAAAAATATCATGTCAATAGAATAACAAAGTTTTTGATGTTTTTACCTGCAGTGTAACCCGAATGATAAAATACTAAGAAAATTTGATGAAATACAAGTTTGAAAATAGTTTTATAATTTAAAATTTATAAGATTAATTTGAAACGTATTTAATTGTTATAAATACGTTGTTTGTGAAAGATACTTAAACTATTTACTTTGTTTAAAACACTAAAATATATTGAATTCCATACAACGTAAAACTATTTTAATTGACTGCGTTAAATAATTAAAGAAATTAAAAATATTATTTTCAATATTTGAATTTGTTGTACTGATATTTTACGCGTCTCAAAACAATAATTAGATGGGTACTTACAGATATGACGGCAGTCAGAAGCATCAACATTTTGCTAGGGGCGCGTTTGATCTTTGATATTGTTACTTTACGTTACCTGTGATTATAAAAAGAAAATAATGATCAATAGAGTTTAAATCATAAAAAAATAAAAAATAGTTTGATGTTCAAAACCAACAATTTTTTCTTATATTTATGTTATATTGCTCTCACAGAGGTTCCTGAACGTTTGAACTGGAAAAAATAATGAAAAAAATAACATCATAGAAGACGATTGTGACAATGTGTTTGTGTGCATCAAAAGAACGTATTACTCAAGGCCGTTAACCGCCGACCTTCAACTCGATCAAGCAAAAACTGAAAAACATTAGTAACTATACTGGAGGAGGGGAAAAACTGTATAGCCCTTGGCAGAACAGTAAGTACGTCTGCTGCTGCATCATGTTTATTTGGTATACTATTCAATCACAATACTCGTTTAATATATAATATTTTATTATAAACACGATATACTTAATAATCTAAATTAATAATATTATATAACCAAAATATTATGTTTTTTTTTGTTTGCTCCTGTATCATACATGCATAAATATATTTACAGGTTTAGAGTCTATGTGTAATTCATATTAGAATATACGCTTATGGAATTTTCAAATTTGAGTAGTTGTTTTTTCAGTAGAAAAATTACAATTCAATACGCTGAAAAAGCCAATTAATTTATATTATTTATTATTAGCACGAGTGTGGTTAATTTTTGTAATTTATTCTTAGTTTTTAAAAATACTGGAAATTGAAAAAATTGTATAAAAGTATTCACTGATCTGTATTTTACAATTCTTAGGTATCAATAAGAAAATATGTAATTTTTGTACTACTATTATTTATATTTTTCGTTTTATTGAGAACTTATTATTAAAAAATTGTATTTACCATATTATATTTTAATTTAGTTTTGTTTATTCATAATTTATTATTATTTTTTTTTTTTTTAACTATTTCGAGTCAAACATTAATTGAAACTAATACATCTTTAAAATACGTATTTTTTTTTACTCAGATAATAAATTAATTTTAATCACAAAAAACTGTATGTTAATTTTCGTACTATGATTATTTGCACAATTTGATTTTGTGCTAATATATTATATATTTACATGATTGATGATATTATTAGATAGATACTGAACAACATACTGAATATAATACTATTATTATTATTATTATAATTGGAGTATTTTTAGTAACTGTGTATTTGAAATCACGTGAAATCATTGTTTGACATTATAACAGTTTAACTTTTTTTAATTTCTTAAGCATATTCACAATTATTATTAAAGTTACTGAAGAAAAAAAATGTATTTCATTTACATTGTTTTGTATAATCATTATACTATTAATATACATAAGATTATATGTATTCATATTTAATAACTTGTTTTTAAATTTAAATTTTTGAAATATTAATTATTAGATAAAACAATGATTGTATTAAAGGAATAAATATGAATATAGTTTGTTTAATTAGCTCCATTATTTGTTAATTAGGTTTTTATCAAATTTAATATATTTATAAGACTTATTTATTCACATATTAAATTATTATAATAATTACTAAATAAAAGAAACAAGTATAATATATTATGGATAGTGGTTGTCTTGACGATAATATTCATCAAAGTCCTCACGAGTCTAGCTCACGACAGTGATTAATAGTGTTATAGTAATAATTATAATAGACAATTAATTTGATGAATTATTTTCTTATCGATTTCCTACTATAGATAAAGCAAATATTACAATTTGAACCATTGTGTATCAAAAAGTAAACAATATTAGGTATTATATAGAGTATAATTTAAAGAATAATTTGATGTTTTTGAATGCCTACGTGTTGGTTTAAATGACACATTATATTTTGTATTTTTTAATTTTTTAATGTATATAAAAATTTAATACATCCCATGGATGCGTCAATAATTTTATCAATAGTTATTTCAAATCTTGATAAAGTAAGGAAAGCATCCTTTTGTTCAAATCATATATTATAATGTAATTATATATATCTTAGCTATTCATGTAGTACTTGGCATAGCTAAATCTAGTTATTATTAAAAAAAAAAAAAAAAAATCTTAAAAAAAAAGAAGTAATTAGTGACTTAAAGTTATGTATTTATTTGTATGTTATTGTGAAAATAAATACTTTTAGCTTTCGTTCACATGCATATTGCGACTCGATGATTATAATAATCCATAGACCTTATATTCGGAATATAAGGTCTAAGCAATAATTATAAACGAATAAGTAATAATACACGATGTTAATGAAATAATGAGTACATTTCGATAGTATAATATGGCATATTATATTATATTGTACAATATTGAGTAGCATATTGTTTCAGGTTTTACTTTGGCTATGATACTGTATTTAAAACATTGTATATATTGTCGAATTACGTTCTTCTCGTATAACATATGCAACCAAAAATTATACATAACGTAGTTAGTCGATTTGAAATAATAATTATATAATACTGTTATATTATTATAAGTAGAAAACAAAGAATTGAGTAAAGTATAATTTGATGTTTAAAAATGAATGAAAAAACATTATACTTGATAGAAGTGTGTGTAGACAGCAAAAAAAAATATATATATATAGTATAAAACATAAAGGACTAATAATAGTCTTAAGATATCATTAATAATATTGTAATATAATAATAATAATAATAATATGTACTATTTTGAATGGATAGATATAGTGAAAAAAAGAGACTAGAAGAACCAAAAACGTGTGCATAGAAATGAAAAACGGTAATTTTCTTCTTTGATGAATCATTCATTGTGATCGGGTATACATTTAAAGGATCGGAAGACAATCAAAATAGTCTGTATGAATGTCTACCCAGAGTACATACTTGAAAAAAAAAAAAAATTCATTGGTCTTTAGTTGTAGTGCAGTCATTGAAGTTGCGGTGCTTATAGACATATTTTAATACAATGCACTAAGCGTAATGGGGAATGATCACAGGAGGACTTTAGTGGGCTGCGATTAATTTTGCATAATCTCTTAATCCCCATGACAGTATTTTAATTATACTCTAAGAATATATTGAATAACGATAGTATTATTGTATACAAATATGAGAAGAAATGTCATTTGATTTTTCGTAGATTATGTTGACAAGTTGTCCGGTGAAGTGTTACCAAGTAAATTAAAGTATCCGCAAAACACTCGAATTATGCCGTCGTGCAATGGTTCAAAATGCGAATCTAAGTATAAATTTATTTTTAGTATAATATTAGCGTCGTAAACACATAACTTTTCAACAACTCTTAAAAATAAATCATATAATCTATCTACACCTTCTGAAATATTTCACGCGCGCCTTGATAGATAATTTATCATCAATGAGCATTTGAATATAATATATTATGGAGAATTTTTTCTCGGTTTTCATTCAGTCTATATTATGATGATATAAGCTATTTATGAAATTTAAAATGAAGCAAGTAATTCGTTTTTGTTTATATTCACAAACCGAGTGTGACGAAATGGATTCACGCCATTTGTACGCCCACTTATACATATTATTGTTGTTATAGATATTAAAAATACCTACGTACAATATATGCTGATTATGTAGGATGCATACACTGAACATAGTTTTTACGTACAAATAGGGTCAATTCATTCTACACAACGATTCAGCATACAAGATCGTATAAAATGGTGTAAGTGAATTGTCTTATGTACATTAATGATTTAGTTAAAAAGTACTTTTTAAATAATATTATGATATTACGTGCAACAATATTTTTATTCTGCTCCATTTTTATGAATTAAAGATCAATTTATGTTAGTTTATATAACTCTGTAAGTGTATAATGTTACATCGTCACTAAATATTTAAACATTATATTATGATGTATATACTACTATATAGTATACACTACTGTAAAAAATATTCTAACTGTTAAATAATTGAACACCTTATAAAAATACATTATTCAAATAGTATTACTGAGAAGTAGAGTTTTTTCCGAAATTGTTCATAGTCAAGAATAAAAAAAAAAAAAAACATAAAAAATGTTAAATTATTAATGAAATTCACTTAGAATATCAAATATTTAGATTATAAAGAAACAAAAATATGTATTATAAAAAATACGTATGTATATCTAAATCAGTTATATATATTATTTTTAATTAATAATTACTTACTTATATATTTATAAATAATTATATTTGAATAATTGATTTAAAGTAAATAGGTACAGACTTACATATTCCTCATAAAAATATATCGTTGTACAAATTTCTTTTTAAATAATAAGTAGTATTAAAAATGTCACGTTATATTGATTTTATTATTTAATTATCCAAACCATGTATTATTTGTTTTTTCTTTCTATGAAATTTCATACTGCATTTAACTAACTATAAATACAAAAAAAAAATGTATATGGTAATAGTTATTTTACATACAGTTTTCAAAATGCTCGTAATTCTATTTATAGATAGTATTAACCTACATATTAAATGTGTACACCTAATATGTTCACATACATTTTCGTGATCTATATTACATATACGCCAAACTTAAGTAGTACAATTAATGATTGATTGCTTAATGTTAATATCGACCAACGTGCACAATATAAGTGGCTATAACATAGCATCCGGCTAATGATTAGATTTTAAAGCGAGAGTGAAATTGTTTTTATAATTTATTAGATTATTACAAAATTAATATTACGATCGGATTTTTATTTCAATTAATATTTTATATTGAATACGAAATTTAAACTATTTACTAATCTTCGAAATTTCGATAGGTAACATAACAGTTAACACCTATTTCTGTTGTGCTTAACGCGACATAATATTATTTGTACATGTTCAAAAAAATATAGCATAGATTACAATAATATAATATAATAATGCGTACCATTGTCCATTACATAATAGCCATGTATTCAGTGTTATAGAAGTGACAATTTAAAAATTATTAAAAAGAATTCGACACTCATGCCTTGTATGCAGTTACGTACCTGAATTTAACTTAGGTATGATCGAGACGTGAGTGCATATACATATTACATATCATATAGTACCTATAAATACAGAATGTATATAATAATGTATACATATTAAAAGTATTCTATAGTACAATACTAATATTATTTATTATTATGTTATTACATATTTTTTACGTTACATTCGTGTCCGACTGAAATTAATAGAAGTGACAAATTAATAAAAATATTGTTTACACTGTGTTACACAATTCGAGTGGGTATAACAAAGTATATAATTCTCGAAAAATCAAAAACTGCAACAATAATAGTAAATATTTGTATAATACACACGCATATATACATACATATATAACGACATAATATCGACAATTATACAACATCTAAAAAACCGGTATGTGTGTGTGTGTGTCACTAAAACCTATTTTCTGTAGATAATAAATATTAAATATGTATATATATATATATATTATATACATACAAGAAGCCGTACTGGTTTTCATTTATTTATTTTCCGTGAAAGGTACATATATGTGCCCGTGTTTAAATCATTTTACGTAAGTATACAAAAGTATAGACACGCATAATATTATTTGCGATCCCAAATATTATATATTTGAAATCCGTACAATATACTTTTATAAACACCTGAAGTAATGTTATTTTATAACGGATGGAGAAGCAACCATGTGCGTAATACGCCAGGTCCAGTGCGTTTTCGAACGGTGGTTATAAACACAAACATTTCTTATGATTATGCATATTATATTATTTTTTAAATTAAATTGCAATCCGTCAGTGTCACGATACGTTTAGTCTGGTTGACCAATCACCGTTTACGACGGTCAAACGTATAATTGCACAATAATAGTTCTAAATTAGACATCCCACTTTTATAATATATTAAATCTTTTAAGCAATAATTATCATAATTATTATTACATTTATTTTTTTTTTTTTTTTTTTTTTTTTTACCAACGATTTAGTTTGATAATAATAGCTCTGCATCGTAACATCATCATTTTTAAAGGTTATTCTTTTTTATAGTAATAGATGTATAATAGTTAACATTTATAGTGAACCGGTTTTAAAAATTACTTAGGTTGTAGGTATCTACAAAAAACCGAAATAATTAACCTATTTATAAGTATCACCACTAAATGTTTTGAATACTACACATCACAACAAGAACTGCGTACATGCAATTATAAATATACTTATATGGGTGAATTATGGTATTATGTAATATTTATTTTTATTTTGGATTAATATTTTTGTTTAAAATCCTATCCATAGTAAGCTATGAAAAAAAAATTAAGATACTTTGAATATCGAATTTTATGCAAATACTTTATTTTAATATAACGCTATCTAGTGTAAGTTTATTATAAATTATAACCTATAGTATGAAGTATTTTGAAGTTACAATATGTAAAAGGCACCGTTGCTACTCTTCTAAATTACAAAATGTATGAAGCTGAAATACGTATTAGTTGTTATGTATATGAGTTTCTATGATATCTTGTTTAATGGATCAAATATCAAATATTTTAAATACAATAATAAAATAATTTATTATTGGGGATTGAAAACCAAATACAATTAATTTAAATTTATTACCTATGTTATTTTGCGTTCGGAAGAAATTTTTTTATTGACTCTATGTAAATTAGTCTTATAATAAATTATATTTAATGGATGTAAACAATATAGTTTATATTAAATATTTATAATAAAGTTATACTCAACAGAGTAAATTTATAGCATGAAAATAATTTATAACAATCATTAATTAGAAATTCAATTTTTTTTTGGATCAGTATGTTATGGCGGTATTGTTGATTTTTTAAGTGTTTTATAAATTATAACATACATTGTTTAATTTAAATAATTTATAACTCTTATTTATATCTGTATTAAGATTTAACGATATAATTGGTACTGTAGTCTAAAAACATTTAATTTTTAAATAAAAAAAAAAGGTAATATCATTTTTTTTAAGAGTAATTATCTTCAAAATTATTTTATTCGTAGTGTTTTGTATTGTGAGTGGTATATTATGCATAATACGCAACTGTACCATTGTTAATTAATTTCACTGTTTATAAATAAATTAGACATATGTAATAATAACTATATAAAGTAATAATTTTTCAATATTCCGAATGAATCCGAAAATTTAGATTTTTTACTTATATTTTATAATAGTACCTATCTTACGCTACATATTTATATGACGAATAGTTAAATGGCTTAAATCAAATTAAAATTATTTGTTTGATGTATCCAATTACTTTGCTACATAACATACAGTATACGCAAAGTTTCCTATACAAATTATTAATTTATCTAACACGTTGTTTATTGACTTTTGCCGTGTTAATGATGGACCTTATATATTGTCCGTAAAATAGAAAGCAAGTAAACCATACACCATGGGAACAAAAATCGTTTACTTATTACATCAAGAGAATCGTGACTACTTTCGAGAGAAAGATCGTAATATTATGAAATCTAGTCTAGATTTATAAAACTGTAAAGATGTAAATTTTAAATCTAAAGAGTGTAGGTTGTAAGATTGTCCAAAGAAATGAAACCAAAACTGTAAATAAGAATTAAAAAAAGTCTTAAAAAATGTTTTAAATTAACGTACCTAGTAGCAGAAGCCGTTCATTTTGTATATGATACTTTCGAATCGTGACTGTATTATATACATAGATAGGTAAGTATGATCTCGTTGCAAAACAAAAACCAGAACGTTGAAATAAGGTGTATTACATTTTTTTTTTTTAAGTCATATTAAAGTAATGAACAGTATTTTAGATAATTTATTATTGTTTCAATTATTTTTTCAAATACCTATAATACATTTTATTAATTGCGTTATAACCAATACTCACTAAAAACTTGTTAATATAGATAATGTATAATTATAGTTTTTAAAAAAATGGAAGGTAATAGTAATTATCAAGTAATGAAAGGGCAAAAATACGTTATTATTAATAATTGTATAATTTAAACCAGTTTGTAAAAACGCAACGATAGTAATTTTAGATCGTGCATGAAATAGATTGTTAAATGCTTAATAAGCTTTCAGCAACAGTGATGATGGGTATTTAATAGCTAAATAAAGGTATAATATTATGTGCAGTACATCGCAGTTGCTTAAGACGATACTTGAATAATATTTTATTGCGGCATTAAACTAAAAAAAAGTTGATTATTGGATTGACTTTCTACACATATATCGTTAAGTTTTAAAAATAGATTACTTTTACATTGTGCTTATTTTCGTTTATTTTACTTTTTATTCGTAATTATAATTGCGATAGGATCAACAGATAATCATAATAATATTATACAATAATACACTATGGGGAACCACATTGATATTTTTAATTTTATTAATTGGTAGATCTATGGTACACATTTTTGTATAGTATCTATTAGCATGAATATACTCGTATCTATAATCGGACTATTGTAAATTGATAATTCGTTATCAGTTCACGGACTCCAAAAGTGTTATCGAGTAGATTAAGATCACCAGCATAAAATTAAGTAGAGTGATTTTATTTTGTGGTCAAGGGGCTAAAAATGTGTACGTTATTTAAAGTGAAGTTAATTCAAAGTAGTTTTTTTCAGAGAAGTCTTTTAAAATCTATAGTAACCCCCATCTATGGTCAACGATTAACAAGCTTATAATCAATAATCTCCACAAATCATAATTTTTCAAAATATTATTTACATAATCTATATACCTATTTATTGTTTATTATACATATAATTGAATGTATGAAAAGGTTTTATTTCTAAGGCTTGGTTTAAATGTTAAAGGTTGTGGTTCAAAAATGTCTATCAGGGACGACGCGATGTACCAACTTATCCCTCTACGCCCTAGTTACTCAAATAAAGCAATTATTACAAATCTATTGTGATTAAAGAAAATCATAAAATAAATTCATACGATATATTTTATTTTAACTTAGCAGATCAGGAATCAATAATAAGTAGTGTGATATTCTAGAACACTACCCCTTATCATTATATTACAAACATGTTAATTCTGTTGATAATAGTAAACACTTATAATTTATAACTTACACGATAAAGGACCTAAAATGTTTAATGGGTATCCGAGATTGGACATGCTGATATAAGTCATACCATGTTACCCTAACAATGTGCCCAGTTACAAATTAAAACGTTCATTCGATATGAAATCGTGATAATTGTAGTTTTAATTCTTGAATTTTGACAAGTAGGTTATGTTTTTTGATATGCTGACAATACAGCGTAAAAAAGTATAGTTTACACGAATTCATCGTTACTGGCGCCAATCTATTAATTACATAGTCGAACAAGTTGGCTGAGCCCCGGGCTCGACTATTTCAAGGCACGAGTCTATAGTCTATACCGTCCGAACCAGCGAAAAAGAACCATCCTAAAACGGGTTTCATAAGATTTGTTCAATTGCGCCGTTGTGTATAATAATATTATTTAATTACGATTATTTTCTAGTAAAAAAATAAAACCATTATAAAATATAACAGCTACTATATTAAAATATCAGTAAATACCCGCAACAAAATATACGGTCACGTTATTAATTAATCTCATATTTGGCTAATTGTTTTATTTTTTTCTAATCTAATTTGAAATAATGAATTTTTTAGTTAATATTTTCATATAATTTTTATTTAAAATCTCATGTTGTACATATGAATTAAAGCGTTGAGTGGTTTGAGGAGGTACTATTGAATACTAATTTTTAGAATACGTTAATGTTCCCAACAATAATATTTATTTTTTTTTAAATAAAACGAAAAAAATTCTTATTTGTTTAACTTTATTTGAGTATAGTAGAATTTTTAAATTTGTAAGTAACAAATAAAAAAACGCTTGTAAATAATATGTTAACGATTCGAAGTTTTTAAAATTGTTGATTCGTGAAATAAATACTACCTTTGGAAATCGATTAAATAGTATGAAAATAGACTACCCTCGGTAACATATTAATATATTTATGAAAATAAATAGGTCATTGAATTATCGTGACATGACTATTGATCAAAAGT